CAAACTTGCCAAACTCAGGGCCCCAAGCTACGCCATCAAAGATGGCAAACTCTACAAACGATCCTACAATGGCACTCTCCTTCGGTGCCTCCACCAGGATGAGGCCGACATAGCCATGGAAGAAGTTCATTGTGGCGTCTGCTCCTCGCACCAGGGCCCTTTCAGCATGTCCCGACGTCTCGTCGTCCAGGGCTTCTTCTGGCCGACGATGGCACGAGACTGCGCTGACCTGGCCAGGAAGTATACCACATGCCAGGTACTCCAGAAGGCCCCTGGTCGGCCGGCCGTCAACTACGCCCCTGTCAGCACTGCAATTCCATTCTCTAGATGGGGGATTGACCTGGTCGGCCCCCTGCCCAGAGCCGCCGGGAACAACCGCTACATCATCGTCGCCGTCGACTACTTCACCAAGTGGGTCGAGGCGGAACCCCTGGCCAGCATCACGGGGGCCAGGTGCCAAAAATTTGTTTACAAGAACATCATCACACGCTTCGGCGTCCCCCAGGAGATTATATCAGACAACGGCACCCAATTCGAGGCAGCCCCTTTCCAGGAGCTCCTCCGGGAGTTTGGGGTGAGGCACCGTTTCTCCTCCGTTGCTTACCCTCAGGGCAACGGGCAGGTCGAGAACGCCAACTGAACAATCATGGAGGGGCTGAAGAAGAAACTCCAGGCCGCAGGGGGTAGTTGGGTCGATGAGCTTCCCAACATCCTGTGGTGCTACAGAACCACGCCGAGGAGGGCGACAGGTGAAACACCTTTCGCCCTATGCTACGGTTTTGAGGCAAAGGCGCCCACGGAAGTTGCCATCCCCAGCCGACGGGTGGAACAGTACGAGCCTGACGCCAACGAAGAAAGCATGAAGATTGACCTGCACCTGGTCGATGAGAGGCGTGAGCAAGCTTACGTCCGAGCAGAGAACTACCGGCGTCAAGTAAAATCATACTATGACGCCAAGGTACGTTCCCGGGAATTTCAGGTGGGGGACTACGTCCTCTGCCGAAGGGAAGCAAGCCAGCCGACAGAGGGTGGCAAGCTAGCATTGAAGTACGAAGGGCCCTACATCGTCAGTGCCATGGTCAAACCCGACACCTACAAGCTTAAACGCCCGAATGGGTCCGATGTACCACGAACGTGGAATGTACACCATCTGGTGAAGTTTTATTAGTAATCCGAAGGAGGTGCAGACGGCGAAGCCCTCACCCCTTAACGGGTTACTGGTAGAACGCCACCCTTGGCCTCGAGCCACTTATGAATAAAATCATGTTCCTCCTGATTTCTTCTCTGGAATTTAAAGTAAAACATTAGCAGGTGCCCCCGTTGGCCACCTTAGAGCGAAAGGCTCAGGTATGGCCGACGTGGCCCCTTGCATTTGCAGCCTATGAGCGACAAGCTCCGGCACTCCATTGTATTTTGTATCAGCGAAGGGCTCAGGCCTAGCTGAGAGAGCACATCGTCCTGGCCCCGTAAGCCTAGAAGTGAAGCGCTCAGGTATGGCCGACGATGTCCCCAGGACGAGGGGCCCGCAAACGGCCCACGTCTTGAAACGGGAAGCTCACCGCGTCGTCCACCTCGGCTCGGGTCGCTCACCTCGGCTCAGATCGCAGGACGACAGGCCTGAAATCATGGCCGAGGTGACGAAATCCCAAAACTCAGGGATGGGCAACGACAGCCGTTGGAAACCGACCAAAAGTCTAGCCCGCGTCATAAATAGGCGACGGGACCCGCCCTGAGATCACGGACGTTATAAACGAAGTCCGAACCGGCCGAAGGACGAGCACACCCTTCGGCCGAAGCCTGAAAGAAGGATACTCCCCGAAAACAAAAAAAAACAAAATATATATATATACAAGGGAAAAAAGAGGGAAGCCGACGGCCGTGCACACCAGCCGGCCTCGAGCAATGAAAAATAAAATCCCCACAATTCAGGCCCAATTTGGCCAAGTACATATCAGTTGAACACAAGTGTAGTAACACTGACAGGTAACATGGACGACACATCCACGCACTACAAGGGAATGATCAAGGCCGAAACACACGCCTATAAAACCCTAACCGCATCGGTTGGGTGACACGCGAGGGGTGACCTTCATCGGCCACAGTCCTTTGAAGCACCAACGTTTGGTATGAAACAAAGAATCACAATCCTGAGGATGACCAGGACGAAGCGGGCACTTATCACACCCGCGGAAGAATCAAGCAATCAAGAAACAATCCTTACTTGCTACAGCATCCCGGATAGCCGTTACAGGCACGGGAACCCAGGCCGTTGGTCAAGCGAAAGCTCTTTGGGAATTTGTTCAAGTGTCTGCTAAACACTTAGAGGAAATTCTGAAGGAAAAGTTCCTCAAGAAGGAACTATGCCTTAGCCGATGAAGGTAGGGCCTTCTCTTGGGGAAAGCAAGGGGCACCCCCATCGGCCACAAAGCTAGACCCTGGCCGAGGATGGTAGGGCCACCTCCCAGCCGGCAGCGGCACCACAAAGACGGAACTATGTCTTACATTTATACTTAGAAAATTCTCTAAGTACTTAGATGGAGGAACTCCAGACGAAGCGGGTACCTGTATACTCCAAAGTCGTTAGCTACCTATGTCTTGCATTTGTACTTAGAGGAATTTCTATGTTCAAGGAACAAAGTTCAAACTACCCAAGGCAAGGAACGAAGACATACAAGGCCGAAGGGGACAGCAACCTGTGTGCCCTTATCGGCCACAACACATGGACCCAAGCCGACCACCCTGATCAGATCAGGAACAAGGGAACACAACGGCCACAAAGGACACTGGGCCGACAACATCAACATCGGTTCAACACTTAGGAAATTTCTTAAAGCACCTGTTAACAGTGCAAGGGGGTTCAACATCAAGACGATGAGAACACCCACCCACTCGAGGTTCGGATACTTAGTAGAATTTCCTAAGTCCTAACTCCAAAGTACTTAGACAGAACAGTGAACGAGACGACGACGCAGACAGCAAGTACTACGAAAACATTTTCATTCAACATAAATGAGTACAAGGAGGGCTTCTAGGCCGTTACATAGCTGAAAGAAAGATAAAACTACAAAGGATCAGAACTCTGGAGGGGCTTCAGAGTCCTTCTCGGCCTCAGCTCCCCCCTCGGCCGGGACAACAGACGTACCGGCAGGGGCACCCGACGTCACAGTATCTTCAAACATGCTCCGCTCATACGCCCAGTCATCGCTGATACGTGAGCTCTCAATAGGGAGCTGCCGCTCGGCCACCTGAAGCTCCAACTCTGCCTCAGGATGCTTCATTAACCGAGGCAGCTCAAGGCCGACGGCCCACTCCTTGGACACACCGATATCCAGGAAACGCCGTTGCAGCCTCCTATACAACAACCGTTGCATCCGGTATCGGCCAAGGTCATAGAAGACTTTCATCTCCTTCTCCCAATAGGCCTGGCCGTCGGGGGATTGGTTCACCCAGTCAACGAGTCTGGCCGCCACGACCTCAAAACAGAAGGGAAGACGGCCCTCGTCCTTCCAACCGACTTCAAGAAACTTCTGCACAGCGGCATCAGCGGCTTTCTCCTCGGCAGCGCTGAGAGCCAGCTCTGCACTGGCCTTGCCCTTCTCGGCCTCCTCTGTGCGCTGGAGGGCCTCGTCGCGGGCACGCTCCACGTCGGCCAAACGCTGGAGAGCCCCTTCCTTCTCAGCGGCCAACTGGTCGGCCTCGTCGGCCCTCTTCTTAAGGCTCTCAACCTCAAGACGCAGCCTCTCTAAGCTGCCTAACGCCTCATCGGTTGAGGCAACCTTCTACTCGAATTGCCTCAGACGAGCAATCTCTTTTTGTTGCCTCCTGTTGTTCTCCATCAACATGAAGGCACCCTGCAGTAAAAAATGAGTTAGACAACTTTGCAACAAAAATGGGGAAGAAACTAAGACGAAGCGGGCACAGTTACTTACTTGGACGACGTGGTCCATCCCACCATCGTACATCTTCACGTGGCCGAGCTTCTTCAGATAAGCCCGGTCTTCGTCAGGGATAGCCTGAGAAATCACCTCGTGGCCGTCAACGATTTCATTGAACAGCCCCCCTTTGACGGGGTACTCCACCTCGAGCTTATAGGTCCCTCTGACCAGCTCTCGGCCGGACCCTTTCTTCCGGGCGGCCGTTGCGGGAACAGGAACAGTGGAAAGAGTGGTGGACGACGGGCCTGAAGGGTGGTCCACCAAAGCATCAGGGTTTGAACCCTCTCCGTCCCCAGAAGGAACAACCGACGTCCCAGCATCGCCGGCAGAAGAAGCCCTCTTTGACTTCTTGGGAGGCTTCATTCCCACCTCCGTCAACTTCTTCTGGCCCTCTTCGGCCTGCCTCTTCTTCTTCGGCTGTACCGGCGGCTTGCCGCAGCGGTAGCCCCAGGTTGTTGGGCCTTCAGCTCCTCGGCCGCTTTGAGTTGGGCCCTCTTCATGAATGACATGCGATCCATCACAAAACCTGCATCACAAAAAAAAACACTAAGGGTTAGAAAGCAGAATACAAAAGTACGACGAGGAAGCACGTCAGAAGGGACTTACCATCGGCCTCAGCTGGCACCCCCGGATCGGGACCATCAACCTCCTCATAGGACGTGGTCATCTTCGGCCACAACTCCACATCATCGTCAAGATCACCATACACAAAATACCGTACAAAGCCGAGGGCGGCCATTCTGTACTCGGTAATATATGTCTTCACACTCCTCGGCCCTCCCTCCAGGAAAGCCTCAACCTGAGCGTCCAGGATGGAGCTCCTCGGCGCATCATGAAGATTAAAACGGCCGGTGTGGCCGACAGAGGGAAACTCTGTTCCCCCCTCGCCCAACGACACGAACACAAACTTCCCCTTCCATCCATGGATGGACGTCGGCAGGTCTGTGAAACTCCTCTTCTTGGGAAGTTGCTGAAGGGTGGCATACGACGCACAGTTCTGATGACTCCCATGGCCTATCTGATATAAGTTCATGAACAGCGCCGTCGTCGGCCTGAAATCCAATTCAGCACACCGCAGGAGGAAGCCGACGATGAGCGAGTAGCTATTCGGCGTCAACAAGGCCGGAGGGAGCCCCACCATATCCAGGTACTCAGTGATAAAGGGATGAAGCGGGAACCTAAGTCCTTTAGCAAAACTCATCGGGTACACTCCGAAGTAGCCCGGGGGGGGGGGGGGGGGATTGAGGACATGGTCCATCGGCCTGGGGGCCCTAACCCTACCATACGGCCCCACATACATTTGGGCGACCAGGTATTCCCCCGCATTACTCTCCGGCCTGATAACGTAGATGTTCGTCAAGTCAAGGTTAGAAAAGGCCGACCCTCTCTTCGGCCTCCTCACCCTCCTCGGCGGCGCAACGCCCTTCACAGCAGACACAGGTTTCGGGCAGGGGATGGCAGCCGACGTGGACGCCCCATCAGCAGTTCGGGAGACCCCTGCTTCCTCACCCCCAGACGATGACGCGGACCCCTCGTCTGCACGGTCCTCCTCGGCCGGCTCCCCGGTCCGGAACGAACTCAGATTCTCAAGCTCCTCACAGAACTCCTCGACCAGCTCATAATCAAGGGACTGGGCAGAGGGCTCGTCGTCATAGAGATAGTACTCTTCGTTGAAGTTTTTCATCTTAAACACTATCTCGGATATACTGCAGCCTACTTCAAGATCTAAGGATATTCAAGGGCCTAACACTAGATCACTAGCCTAGGAAGCAAAACATGCAAAGTACAGAGAGGATTTCGATGAACACTAACCTTGAACACGAAGAACACGAAGAACAAGCTTGAGAGTTTATCTCTCTTGAAATCCGGCCAGCACTTCGACAAACTCAGAATGCAAATGAGTTTTCTCGTCGGAGGGGGAGGGGTATTTATAGAACCCCCCACCCAACGGTCACTACACGTGGCACCCTCCCAATGGCCACATCAACGGCCACCAATGAGAGGCCACCACGTCACCAACGGGACAAGCTACACATCAAGAACCCACCGGCAAAACAGACTCTACGGCCTATACGCTTGCCGGCTTCACAAGTGCCAGCAAGCGCCCACAACGGCCTATTTACTTGCCAAATTCACAAATGCCAACAATAGGGAGATGACAACGGCCAGGAACATAATGGACGGCCACAGGACCAAAGGAACAAAGAACCCACAGCCATCGGCTCCTCGTAACGACCCTTGATGATAACTCTTTACAAGCGATCTGCGCACAAGGGTTCTCCCACAGGGTTACCTTGGCCAGAAAATCGCCATAAGGGTTGGATTCAGGGGCACTACGGAGAGGCCGCTTCGGCCTGGGACTCAAGCAACTCCTTCACCCCTCACACTCTTCGGCCTGAAGCAGTGGGGGACTGGGGGACTACACCGGCCTCAACAAAAATGTAACCACAAAGCATGGCCACATCGGCCATGTACCACAAAGCATGGCCTCGTCGGCCAAAGGCACATAACGTCATCAGCAACGGCCAACTGGACACCTAAGTCAAGGACACTCATCGTCCTCCGCCAACAGTTAATCATGATGGGCTCTTTGGCCAAGAACAGGAAAGCCAATCAGCGACGGCCAAAAGGAGCGCAAACACCCTCATCGGCCACCCAAAGGAAAGGACGCCATCGTCCTCAAAGCAAGGTTCAACCTCAGTGACCTCATCGGCTTGAACGTAAAACTTCAACCATCGACGTCCAAGAAAGGGAAAGCATGCCTTCAACGGCCACCATTGAAGTAGGACACTTATCGTCCCCAAATGAACACATCAAGGAAACAACGGCCTCCCCGCCCACAGCGAGGAGCAGGTAACGGCCAAGGCACAGAACAGGATCACCAAAATGGAAACAACACCAACGCCGCAACAGCTGACGGCCTGGGAATGCCCGCGTCGGCCAAAAGCACTAAAGCACGAGAATCTACTCTCCTTCACTTCGTCTACGTCTCAGCTTAGAGAGTGGGAGACTCCTGATGGAGTATATGGGTCTGAGCCCCCGGACCCACATACTCGGAAGAACAGAAAGCACAAGACACAGAGTGGCGCCCTCGTTGGCCAAGGGACCCCCGTCGGCCGAAAAGGTGCCAACTCAGATTATGGTCCTGAAGCCAAGGAACCCGAGTGCCCTCGTCGGCCGTGCCCTCGTCGGCCACGCCCTCGTCGGCCACGAAGACTCCACAGAACCGGATTCTACACTTACTCATTTGTACAGCCCATTAGTGGCTTTGTATTCGGCCCAGTAGCGGTCCAGTTGTAAATGGGCCTCCCAAGCCCAAGGCTTGGGAGTCGAGCTCGTATTTTCTCTATAAATACTCCCCTTGGGAGTAGTTGTAGGGGTTCAGAATTCATTAATACCAAGCAAATATACTACTTCTCTCTCTAGCTCTCACTTCTTTCTAGATATACTCTATCAGTAGTAGATTTAACATTTTTTATAACTGATGATAAACATAAAATGTAGATTTTTAGTCCAGGGTGTTACACCCGGGTGTTACTTTAGTATGATCATCAATATTTAGTGTAACATGGTCACTTTCCTTTTTGGGACGTCCTATTTACTCGTTTACGTTTCCTTTTTAGGAAACTCCTTTTACATTAAATGTCCTAACTACCCTTCACTACTCATTCACTTTTTACATTTGTGAGGATATCTTTACTTCTTCCCAAAAGTCAAAGGGCATGCAATACATTTGTTCTTCTATTAATTGAGCTCTTAAAATACCGTGTCAAAAGCAAACATCAAGTTCTATCGAGCACAGGGGAGTATTTGCTAAGTTATATTTGTGACTTGATGTTACACAATAATAGTTGATGTTACTAAATAGCTAGTTTGGTCTTCTAATGCACTAAAAATGAAATTAGTAATGAAGTATTTAGAAAGATGACTAAAAGAAGCTTATCGCTGAAAAAATGAATTTAATAAATTTGACATCTAAAAATAGCATTTTAAAGAGAGTAGACTCCTATTAGATATGTACGTATTTAATTTTTTATTGTGGATATGTATTTAATAAAAAAAAATTAAAAGTAACGATAACATGTTTCTAGCATGTGGGGATTATATATAGTGTGAAGTTTAAGCATTTAATTAATTAGTAGAGTACACTTAGGAGCAGTAGCGGAGCCAGAAAAATGGTTCAGGGGGTCGAAACTCTACCTATCTTTAGAATGAAAATGGTGGATCGTTTTTAAACAATGTCGGAGTTGAATATTTCATATGCAGTTTAGATAAATAGACACTCGATGCAATAAGATAGATTGTTTTTGTTCTGTTTCCGAGTCGTGTCATGTAAGTATTGAGTGAATTATACCCTATTTTTTAATCTATAGTATGCATCAAAGTTTTGCTGATTTTACGTTTAGGTAGTGCTGATTTTCCATAAGTCATAACTTTTTACTCGTAATGAGTTACGAGGGCCATAATATATCAAACCGAAGATATTTCAGAGCTCTATACTCTTAAACTTTCAGTGGGGTCGGCTGATCACCCTGACCGCCCCTTCGCTCCGCCCCTGCTTAGGAGTCCGGCCCTAGCTAGTTTATCTCGTAGCATTTAATGAATGAATTACTTAATGCTTTAGGCCTTGTTTGGTTCAAAGGAGGGGAGGGAAGGGGAGAGTCAAGGAGGGAAGGGAAGGGGAAGGAAGGATTTTGATAAAAAATTGTGACTGGTTGGAGAAAATAAGAGGAAAGGTTTAATGAAAATATTTCCGCAATTTACTTTTATTTGATAGCTTACTTAAAAAAATAGATACATGTCTAACTATTGTGAATATTACTCCTATGGTCATGAGTCATAATTTTATTTTATTTGATTTTTTACTTTTTTAATTTTATAATTTTTCATTTTTCAGTTTGGAATTTCTAATTTTTTCTTTTTTATTTTTTAAATTTTTTTATTTTTAATTTTTAAAATTTTTATTTTATAATTTTTATATTTTTTAATTTTTCAAATTTGTAATTTTTAAATTTTTTAATCTTTAAATTTTTTAATTTTTTAATTTTTTAGTTTTTCAAAACTTTTTGTTTTTTACCTTTTTATATTACGTAGTATAACGTTTTGTTCATTCACGGAGATGGATAGTTTGTAGTTATCAACACGTTTCCTCCGAAATGCCCCGATTTGGGGGGTTTAGAATGGGAGAAAGTGGAAGATTTGGAAAGCCTTCCATTTTCCTCCCCTTCCCCCTATTTCCTTCAACCAAACACACACAAATCCCCCACTTTCCTCCCCTCCCCTCCCCTCCGAAACCCTCCAACCAAACAGGGCCTTAAAGTATTAATAATTATTAATTATTATTCGCATTAACCAATAAGAAAGCGACACCTCAGCTTTATAAAACTCAGGTTTACTGTATATAACTATAAATTGCATACGTAAAATATATTGTTTTCTTTTAGTAAAAACTGAAACGTATGTCTAGTTTTAGAGTACCACAATTGTGAGACTAGTGACATCATTGCACCACTTATGTCTAAAACAGGTAGTATATTTTTTTCATAAATTTGATACTGGAAACGTTCTACAGCTTTTCAGAAGTGGAGAGTCCAGAATCTCCACCAATGTATAAACAAAGACTAGCCCAAATAGAGGCAACATAGAAAGTAAGGTAGAAATTCTTCTGCTTGTGCTACATTAGGAGATGATCATTGTTCATAAACACAGAATCAGAAGAAGAAAAAACACAAAAGTAAACAACATTCAACCACATTTTCAAAAACAATACGGAAAATGGAAACTAATAATCCAATCTTTTAGCGGTCTTCTTACAATTGACCTACCTTTTGATTATTCAGGAATAATCAAATCTTTTCACCTCATCTTCATTCAATGGTCTTTGACCGGTTGATGACCTGTTATTCCAAAATATTATGTGACTATAAGGTGAGATTTATGATATAATATATTGTAAAGATAAGAAAATAACTTGGAATAACAGGTCATCAACCGGTCAGGGACCATTGAATGAAGATGGGGTGCAAACGTTGGATTATTCCTGAATAATCAGAAGGTGAGACTATTATAAAAGGACTCCTAAAAAGATTGGATTATTAGTTTCCATTATGCCAAAACAATACTACGTACTAAACTCTTTTTTTGCAGTCAATTCAAACATCTAGACTATTCAAGGCCGTAACAATCTCATCATTTAAAAAAACCAAAACAACAGGAGTTAATTATCAAAATAGGACTAAAAGTCATTCACTTTTCACAAATAGGACCAAAAAATGAACTATGTTTGCATAGGACTAATTATGTGTACCTTGGACAATTATACCCTTATAGCTATTAAAATGTTTTAATTCCTAATAAATTAATAAAAAATAATAAAAATTCGTAAAAAGTACTAAAAAATTAAGAAAAACATTTCGATATTAAAAATTTAATTAATTTCTTTTTTCAAAAAATTAAAAAAATTAAAAAAAAATTAAAAAAAAAACTCAAAAAAAAAAAAATCGCCGCCGCCTCTGCCGTCTCAGTACCACCACCTACAGTCACCAGGGCAAAAAAATGCCAAGTTCATTACGAATGACATATTTATGGCAGGAAAAAATGAAAATGTTGGCATTCAAAAAGAGAAATATGCCATTTTTTTGGCATTTTCAGAAAAAAATTGCATTTTTCTGGGAAAATGACATTTTTTTCATCGCCCGGAGGTGGTGGTACTGGGAGGTAGTACAGGCGGTGGGAAAGGCATCCATATTTTTTTAAAATTTTTTACGGAGTTTTACTAGTTTTTATTAATTTTTTTAAAAATAAATTTAAAAAAAAGTTTTTGAATTTTTTATTTTATAACAATTTTATAAATTTTTTAATTATATTTCTACGAATTTTTGATTTTTTTCGAATTTATTATGAATTAAACATTTAATTATGGTTTTTGACTTTTTTAATTCATATTTAACGGAAGGGTAAGAATGGAATGCAAAAATAGGTATGTTTCCAATAGGACTTGCTATGTTTTTATTCCAAAATAGGACCATATGAGTCCTATTGGAAACATACCTATTTTTGCATTCCATTCTTACCCTTAAACGTTTATTTATATTGCAGAAGAACACTAAACAAGCATTAGTGTTAAACGTGTGGGTATCATATAAAGCTACAAGCTAACTAACATCAAGAGATTATGCATATTTGTATAATAAAAAGAATGCTCAACAAACAACTGCAACTCACTGTTTGTTCGCCATGAACTTAACAACTGCAGATTCGTATAAAAGCCCTCTCTGATCATGAATTAACCACTCTCAGGTTCAAATTGCCGAACTGAACCTTCTTAAATCCGTTTAAGCTAGGCACTAATCTTCCTGGTTGATGAATCTCTTGCTACTACGTATATCTTTTTTTTTTTTGAGCTTGACCGAGATGGGGCCTGTTGATCGAGGGAGCTATTGGGTGATGGAATTGATCCGTAGCCTGCCATGCTCCTTTCCCTTTTGTCATTTGTTTTGGCTAGGGGGGATTTTACGCTGTTGTGTCATTTGCCCCTTGTGATTGCATGTAACACTTGGCCGAAGATGTAGTTGGGACACTATCTGAGTTGCATGCTGTTGGCCGTCAGACTGTTGTCTCACAGAGAGGCATGTAATTTGGTGACGGTGGCACCATGTTGGATGTGGGGTATTTTCTAAAAATACGGGAATCTTAAAGAGACATAGCCAAATTAAGGGCCTTTTGGACCTGTTTCTAAGAAAGCGGGAAACAGTAACCATGTCTGATATGTCAGAGGGTTGAAATAAAAGTCTGATTTTTTAATGGGATTTGCAAACATCATGCCGAGTTGTTCCGTTAGTGCATGAGATTTAACAAATGACACTTTATTGCTCCTATTTTTAAAAAATTGTAATTTCGGGAATAAAAATATAAAGTCCTATATTGTAATTTTAAAACCTTTTTCCTCTTTTTAGAGCAATTTTCTTTTTAGAATCTGCTAACGCTAAAATTGGCTTAATCTATTGAATTTCTCAAAACTAATGAAGTTATGGTTGAAGCAAATGAATTGCCTGAATCTACTAATGTATGAAAACAATTACGTAGTATATTTGAAATATTCTTTTTAATAAAACTAAGAAAAAACAATATGAAAAATTAATAAAATATATTTGAAATATAATTTTTGATAAATTAGCAGAATCAACCAATGCAGCCGATTCAGACAAAACTTTATAAATTTCAACAGAATCAGTCGATTTAGCCGATTTCAGTGTTACCAAATGGGCTCTTAGTATTTTACTAATAATAAAATTAACTAATATTATTCTATATTCGTAAATAAATTAACTAATTAGAGAAACGAATTTACTAATAGAGAAACGAATTTACTAAGTATGGGAGTAATAATTTACTGAAATAAAGAAGCTAACTAAAATGTAAAATCTTAATCTTAACCAAATAATACGTAGTATTCCAGGTTGCAGACTAAAAAACAAGACTTTGGGTCTGACATGTGTACCAGCGTTGCAGACTATAAGGAGCGAGAAATGGAAATTCCCGTATTTTCGTCCATGAAAAGAAATCTTTGTGTTTTTGGAACAACAACGGAAAACTCCCGCTTATCCGTCATTCTCTCGTTGGATGTGTATATTGAATGTGTCATTTTGCTCCTAGGCTGAGGGGCATGTTGCCCCAGGCAGGCCCGAGGGGTATGTTGGCCCAACTAGGGCTGAGGAACTCACTTGATATATTCTAGCTCTTAATAAAAGCACCAAATGATAGATTATTAATCTAGAGAGAAGGAAGAGATAGAGAGATAAAGTGATATGTATAAGAGAAATTACCCAAAATAAGACTAAAAATGTTTGTATATTCAAAAATATGACTATCATATTTTTATTCCCAAAATAGAACTAATTACTGCCATGTTTTGGCAGTACCAGACTGTCGAGGTTTAGTCCCGTAGATCCGGATGCCCAACACACGCTTTGGATATTAAGGATGTGGAAAATAGGTCGAAGGTAAATAAAAATATAAAAGCTGAGTAATATTGCGCTCAAAAGCTCACTTGTATTAAGTAATTCATTGATTACACAAGAAACTTCCCGAACGTCACGTCGGAACGGTGATTAATACAAGAACAAGAGTGAGAAAGCTATTCTAGGCCTTGACTATCAAAATGCTAACCCGTTACAATGTAATTAATACCCCTATTTATACTAAAAAGTAGGGTTGGGTCCGAAAAATCGAAAACCGAAAACCGAATCAAATCATACCGAACCGTAGCCAAATAAAACCGAACCGCTAACAAACCGAAACCGAATGTAAAAAACCAAACCGAACCGTAGTTGTTTGGTTCGGTTATGGTTTTTACCCTTCAAAACCGAACCGAACCGAACAAACCGAACTAGTTAAAATATACGGAGTAAAATTTATTTGTCCATTGTTAAGCATTAATCCTAACTAATCCTAATATCATTAATAGTTTTTTGTTTTCTTGTGCTAGAGAAATAATGTTTGTTATGTTTAGTTTAGTTTGTGAATTCATTTACACATTCATTGCACGTAATAATGTAGCTATACTGATAATATGTTTTTACTTGTTATTAGTATTAATTAACTTTTATTTTTATTTAACTAAAAGAACTCGTGTTGATGAAACAATAAATATTTATCTCAACTATATCACATATAACGTATATACTCATGAACTTTTTTTGAACTAGTCACAAACAATGTAAATTAATAATATATACTTTTATCTCTCTCGCATACTCATATAATTCATGACATATTTATTTATTCATTTATTTTCATTTTTATTTTATTTGTTGTAGTGTGCTTTCATTCTTTATGTAATATAGGTTTGATCCCTCAAAGTATTATATCATTTTTAAATCAAATGATAATTTTTTGGTAAAAAACCGAAAAAAACGAAACCGAATCGAAACAAACCAAACCAATCAAACCGTGGTTCCAAGTTTTGGAGTGTAGAACCGAACCGAAACCAAACTGAACTTTTTACTTTGATTCTATATTTGGTTTTAGGTCAAAACCGAACCGCAAGAACCGAACCCACCCCTACTAAAAAGGGGTAGGTGGGGGGTGTGGGGTGCTCCACGCTGATTGGTTGCTAATCCAGCCGTTTGAACGCCCATGCTCCCACTTGTTGATATCATACTCTAGCATTTAATGCACCTTGCCACTTGCAGGCTGCCCGTTCGGGCAGCGGAATGGCAGTCCTGACTCCTGTCTAGTGTCTTGTCAATCTATCCCAAGCATAACATGTGATTCGTTCCCCGTTCAGGATATTCGGGTGACCTTTTGTGGACCCCCTTGTTTCACGTTCGGGGTAAAGTCTTCCTGGACCCGTTCTCCCTAGTGGTCTTTGGGTCGGGTATTGGGCCTTCGGCCCAATATCTCAACACGAGTCCCCCACTTCCGATGTCTCAAATGGTAGTGAGTGCATAAGGAAGTAGAACTTTTATGCCGAGTATTGATCGGGAGCTAGATCTCGTTGGTTCCCAATGTCATGAGTTAGTACCTTATTTTGGCTGTCATTTGATTTTACCGGTAATCGTCATGATTACTGGCCTTTGTTCCTCCGCGTGACAGGTGTCTTTTCAAACGCTTCTGGTGACGTGTCTCCTTCTGGTTGGTCGATGAATCGGCGCTTGTCAGGCTATAGGTAGGCCTTTGGTCCTCCGGTTCTGGGTTTCGAATTTTCAGATCCTTCGTGCTTTTGTTCTACCTTCTCTCTAGGACTCTTCAAACTCCGAGCTTTTTTCACTTCATGTTCGGTCAACATGTCTTCTCGACCACATTCTTCCAGCTTGGATTCGGAGTCAGCCTCTCAAGGGGAGGTTCAAGACGCCGCTGCACAGGACGCCACAACTGTCCCCTTTGTTGATGTTGCCAGTAATGCGACTGCGGGGGCGGTTGATGAAGATTCTACACACGACTCTACTTCTTCCGGTGACGACTCTGATGGCACGATGTCCGGTGATGAAATTACCTCAATGGCGGCTGGTCCCCGAGGTGATGTTCCTCGTTATAGGGTTGATCTAATATTACTCAGGGAGAGGAGGCAGAAATTGACTTCTCACAATAGGGCTCAAATTCGGGCCCTAATTTCGGACTTGATGGATTTCCATCTTCGGGCTGGGCTTCACCCAATGCGCCACCTCCCTGGGATGGTGGTGGTCCATTTAGACTCAGTGAAAGCTGGGCTTAGATTTCCCTTGCACCCATTTTTTGTGTCCTTCTTCAAATTCTATGAGGTAGTACCGGCCCAAATCATGAATTCCTATGGGGTGATGGCCGGCTTCATTTGCCGTTGTGTAGATGCCAAGGTTACGCCCACTCTGGAACTGTTTCATCAATTTTTAAGGTGGCCCCTCAACAAACACACGGGTACTTGGCCACAACTGCCCGAACGGGGCATATATTATTTAAGGGCAACCTAACTTCAAACAAGGGATGGAAAGACCATTTTTCTTCGTTTCCATCCCTGACGGCCTAATCCCGAACAGGTGGAATGCCTTCCCTCGTAAATCTCCAGATCCGCTTCATACCGAGAAGATTTGCAATGATGTTTTTGCGGTGGAGGAGGGCAAAACCTGCAACATTATGGAGTACCTGACTCCTTATCAGCTACTCAAAGCCGGGATAGGTACTGCCCGTATTCCTGGGTTTACTTGACTGAAAACCAAGTGCCATGGGTCGGGCGGTCCTTCCCGTCCGAGAAACGTCCCTCTTTAGTTTTCCTCGTGACCAGACCGCTCGGTACTAACTTTCGTCTTTGTTATTTTTCAGCTCCCAACCCAGACGCTCCCATGGATGACAATCGTGTGCTTGCTGCCGGTGGAGTAGGAAAGAGGAAGAAGGCTAAGAAGAATAGTCATCCCAAATCTTCCACTGCTGCTCCTCAGAACACCGATCAGCCCCAGCCTGCTCAGGTCGCTCAGCCCATTCAGCAGGTTTCCCTTGAAGAAGTCTTTGATGATGATATGCTGATAGACAACCCGTTCGGGTCAGACCTGCTGCATCATCTTTCTGATGCATTCCAGGCTGCTCAGGATGTGAGCATGGGGGTCGATGTTGCTACTGCTGCCGATGTTGCTTGACAGATCAGGCGGATCTCTCTGGAAGATCCGGTCCACAAGACCTTAGAGAAGGTCGACTCCTCTGCGAGCTAGATCTGGACTACTTTCGCCTTTTTCAACAATTTTTCCTTGCCTAATCTCCGGGTTGATCGAGCAGAGGAATGTGTTGCCTTAACGGCTCTGAAGGTACTTTGTTTCCCCTGTACTTTTTTCATACATTACCATGCATTCCTCATCTCATCTTTTATTCCCGAACGACTTGTAGATGGGGTTGTACAGCTTGCAGCTGAGGGAGGCCCACTTGGCTAAGGAATGGGAATTGATCATTGCTCAAACTTCTGCCGAGCAGGCTGCTGCTGCCGCCCTTACAACCATTGAGGCTGAACGGAAAGCCTTTCCTGAAGAGAAGCAGAGGCTCGAGAATGAGTTGGGTGGGCTTCGGGTTCAACTGGCCGTTTCCTAAGCTTAAGTCTTTGCTGCTGAGGCCGCTCAGATTAAGTTCAAAGAGACGGCCCACTGCATCTTGGACGGTCCCACTGAGGTGAATGTGGATCTGGCCGCCGTTCGGGAGGTGTTCAAATCTTCTGATGAGTTTTTCACCATCAAGGAGGAGTACGCCATGCAGCAACTGCCAG